GTGAATAATGGTGCTGGTAGACGACTAGAGGATGGTTGCACTCCAATCCCGTAGACTCGATCTTTATTTATTATTTTCACGAGAAATAAAGAAAAGAAAGTAAAAGAAGTAAGAAAATAAACACGCAACTTTCAAACTAATACCAAAATAGATAATTACATAATATTTATACCTTTATTCACGCCACCAGCCGCCTGTGTCGAAATTGTAGTCATATCCTCCGGGGCTGGCTGAGTTCCTTCAGGCTGAGTTTGTTGCCATGCATCAAGATCAATATGATACTTGTCCTGAAATAAACATAATACATTTCGTTTCATAATACAGAATCAGTGTCCTGAAATAAACATAATAAACAAAATAAACATAATATGATACTTCTTCATTTCATTTCAGTAATAAATAATATAATTAACATATAGATAGGGCATGGACAATTTCCAAACGAAAAGCCGAAACAGAGAAGTATTAGCACTTAAGTTGTTTCTTAACTAACATAACTTGGATGTATAAAAATTCTAACTCTTTAAAATATTTTTCAACTCTAACTATTATAACCTAAATTATACGAAGTATTAGCACTTAAGTTATTTCTTTAGTTGTTTTTTATATAAACAAAAATTATTATATTGCAAAAAATTTTAACAAGTATTTTTAACAAGAATTTTAAACAAGAATTTATATAAACAAGTATTAAACAAGAATTTATATAAACAATAAAAAAATAGCTAATTAATCTAAACAAGTAATTTTTTAACATCACTATATACATATTATATTGTAAAAATTATTGCTAATTTATCTATACTATATTGCAAATTATATAGCTAATTTGTACATACTATTTTGCTAAATTAATGCAAAAAAACCTGAAAAATGAACCAACGGATCTGCTGCTGAACCACCACCGGAGGGAAGATGAGATGCCGGATTCCTGTACCAAAAATGAGTTAAACAACTTAGGAACAAAAAATTTAGGGGGGGAGGGCTGGACGGGGGAAATAGAGTGGGTGAGGGAGAGGGGGAGTGAGAGAGAGAGGGAAATCATACCTAATATGGTTAGATTAGCGGATAAAATTAACAAATAGAACGGGTGGGAGCAGAAGAGGAGAGGGGAGGAGAGGGAAAAAAGTTAGAGAAGAAAGAAGAAAGAAGAAAAAACGGGTTAGGGTGTATTACAAAAAAAGATTTGCGACCGAATCGGTCGCAAATTTGAAATTTGAATTTTCAAATTGCGACTTATTCGGTCGCAAATGTTGTTGACCAGTCAGACCTCGTTTTAATTGCATATTCCGACCAAATCGGTCGCAGCCTTTAATTTAATTTTTTTTAAATTTTAATATTTGCGACTGATTCAGTCGCAAACCATAAAAAGTATTTTTGCGGTATTTTTCGCGTAATTGAGCGAGCGAATCAGTCATAATTTTGAGCCAAAAATTTTAAAAAAATTAAACATGTATTTTTAATAAAGTTTCCAACCGAATCAATCGAAAATTGCGACTGAATTAAATCGGTCGGAATTATTCAGTCACAAATTTGTTGTTTTTTTAGTAGTGAAAGAAACGGAGGAAAATTCTTAAGTAGAGGCGGCAAATTGCAACCATAAAGATATAGAAGTTAATGTGTTTCATTTCGGTCCTTTTTTACCTGGTTAAAGAATGATAGTAGTTGAATAATTTTTCCTTTTAAGTTTTCTAGTCTCCTAATGTTCTTTCCGAGATTTTTTTAACACTTGTTCTTTTTACTAAACACAAGATTCCGGTGCCGCATCGTCTCGTTTACTTAAAACTGATCATCTTTGTCGTCGTCGTGTTTGTAAACATAATCGAATATAAATTATTACTTCAAATTTTTCTCTCTAACTACCGGTGAATAACAACTACAATAGGCATGTTGATCTCATCGTTCCTCTACTAACTCATTACTTTTTATCTTGAGAAAGCTTATGATAAAGTCCCAAGAGAGGTTATATGGAGCTGTTTGAATGCTAAAGAAGTGCATGTAGCCTATATTAGAACGATCAAGGATATGTATGATGGAGCTAAGACATGGATAAAAACAGTAGGAGGAGATTCGCATTACTTTGCAGTTGAGATGGGGTTGAATCAGGGATCAACACTTAACTCGTTTTTATTTTTCTTGGCAATGGATGCATTGACGTGACACATTCAAGTGGAGGTGCCATGGTGTATGTTATTTGCATATGACATAGTTCTGATTGATGAGACGTCAGGTGATATTAACGAGATGCTGGAGGTCTGGAGACATATCCTTGAGTCTAAAGGTTTCAAGTTGAGCAGGATTAAGATAGAATACTTGGAGTGCAAGTTCTTGTTACCCAGGAAGCGGATGTGGATGTGAGTCTTGATACTCATGTCATTCCCAGGAGAGAGAGAGAGAGAGAGAGAGAGAGAGAGAGAGAGAGAGAGAGAGAGAGAGAGAGAGTTTCATGTATCTGGGGTATGTAATTCAGAGTGATGGGGAGATTGATGAGGATGTCACACATCGTATCGGAGCGGGGTGGATGAAGTGGAGGCTCGCTTCCGATGTCTTGTGCGATAAGAATGTGCCACCATTGAGACTTAAAGGTAAGTTCTATAAAGTAGCGGTTAGACCGACCACGTTATATGGGGCAAAGTGTTGTCTAATCAAGAACTCCCATGTCTAGAAGATGAAAGTAGCTGAAATGAAGATGTGGAGATGGATGTGTGGGCATACTAGGTTAGATAGTGTGATGACCCAAAAGGTCATCTTTAAGACCTCGAAAAGCACTATTTATCATTCCTCTACTTGCGTGCGCAATCCGTATAATTTTTCGGAAAATGTTTATGTGAAAAATTGATTAAAATATGAAATATAGCCTTAAAACTCAATTAAATTGACTTTGATCAATATTTTTAGCAAACGAATCCAGATCAGTATTTTGACAATTTCGGTAGGTCCATCTCGTAATTTGGGACTTGGGCGTATGCCCGAAATTTAATTTGGAGGTCCCTAACTCAAGTTATGGCCATTTAACAGAAACTAGAAATTTAAAGGCTAAAAATTTCCAAAATTTGACCACGTATTTGACTTTTTAATATCGGGGCCGGAATCTGATTCTAAAAATTAAAATAGCTCCGTTATGTCATTTATGACTTGTGTGCAAAATTTGAAGTCATTCTGGATTCATTAAACATGTTTCAGCACAAGTTTTGAAAATGGAAAAGTTGAAACTCAAAAGTTCGAATCGAGGTGTGAATTGTAATTTTAGCATTGTTTGATGTGATTTGAGGTCTCGACTAAGTTCGTATAATATTTAGAACTTGTTGATATATTTGGTTGAGATCCCGGGGGTCTCGGGTGGATTCTGGATGATTAACGGATCGAAATTTGAACTTAAAGAAAAATCTGAAATTTTGGCTTTCTAGTGTAACCGCACTTGCGGATTTTAGACCGCAGATGCGGGCTCGCAGAAGCGGTCAAGTTTTCACAGAACCGAAAACCGCAGATGCAGTCAAGTTTTTGCAGAACCAAAAATCGCAGATGCGGTCAAGTTTCTGCAGAAGCGGAAATGCTGGACAGAACACATAAAAATCGGGAGTTAGCCATTTTTACTCATTTTTGAGTTTTGAGTCTCGGATTTAGGCGATTCCAAAGCGATTTTTTACGACTTTGAATTGGATAAGTGTTCTACAACCAAAAGTGATTATATTTCATAAATCCATGTCTATATTCATCATTTATTTCGGATTTAGATGGAAGAAATTGGAATTTTTGTAAAACTTTCCAAAAATGAAAATATAAGATTTGAAGGTCCATTTGACATCGAAGTTTGATAATTTTTGTATGGTTGGACTCGTATCGGAATGGGTGTTCGAATTTCGTAAGTTTTTCCGAGATTCAAGACGTGGGCCCCACTATCGATTTTTTAGATGAATTTCAGATTTTAATCCGAAAAATTAGTAAATTCATATGGAATTAATTCCTGCAATTTGTATTGAGTATATTGAATTGTTTATGACTAGATTTGAGGATTTCGGACATGAATTTGCAAGGCAAAGATTTATTGGATTCTTGAAATTGGTTGCAAAGCGAGGTAAGTGTCGTGGTTAACCTTGACTTGAGGGAATAGAACCCTTGAATGATTTGTTATATGAAATTCATGTGAACGACGTATAGGTGAGGTGGCGAGTGTCACGTCGTCAAATTAATTGTTTGCTTAATTATTTGAAATTATAAATTGTTTAAAGACATGAATTAATTATTATATTAATTGTTTCTCTCATATTCCATGCTCAATATTATGCCTTGAATTCCTACAATAATTGTTACATGCTTATTTGATTTATGTGTCTTAATTGCTACTTCACATTTAGCATATTAAATATTAAACTGTCTATTTTCTCCCTGATTTCCACAATTAATTGCTACTTATCATTATTTGTTTCATAAGTAAATTATAATTATTGTATGCCTTGATGCTTAATAGTTTCTCATTGAACGTGGTATTTATTGGAGTATTTTTATTACATTTAAGAGTTGTTAAATATATTGGAGGATCGGGTTACCGCAACAAATTTATTTAAAGTTTATATTGGGGGATCGGGTTGTACGCCGCAACAGATTTATTTAAAAGTTTATATTGGGGGATCGAGTTGCACGCCGCAACAAAATTATTCTAAGTTTATATTGGGGGATCGGGTTGCACGCCGCAATGGAAACAAGTTGAGGGATTGTGACTGCTGAATTGACTTCAATTATTAATATTATTTACCGGTCTTACTACTATTCTCGTTATTATTATTATTATTATTATTATTATTATTATTATTNCTAAATAATATTACCTTCTCTTTGTGATATCTGTCAGTAGCATTTTAAATTAAGAAAATGTCTCATTATGAAAAGTGATGTGTTCTTTTTCTTTTATAACCGTGGTGTCTAGGCTAGCTTGCGCGCATATCTGCTAATTCCACGGGGTATCTGCTGCCTCCCACCAGCACATGTATCGGGTAATTATATCCACTAAGGCTTGGACAAAAAAGTGATGAAGAAAAATAATAAAACTGTGTTACTTGTGAAAAAATAATGATAATAAAACTTTATGCTATTTTGCTAAGTTGCTCGGATTGGGGTGGGGTGTCTGATACAGTTTCGGATCTAAAGGTCGAATCCTTCATGATCTAAATTTTAAGATTCGGGGGTATGGATCCAGGTATGGATATGGGTGCAGGGATTCGGTTAAAAGTAATTCTAATATCTAAAATAGAGCTATAAAAATATGTCTAAATTATGAAAAATTATGTGAAAAGTAACAAGGTAAGGAGAAAATATTGATCAAGAGGAGAATCCGAGAAGGAGATAAAAGGAAAATGACTGATATAGAAATTTCTATATAAAAGGTACTCTATTTTCTTCAAGTTCAGCTTAGCTTTTGTTTTGTTTTAGAAATCATCATCTTTGTCCCAAATTTATCTGTCGATTTTGGTCAAAGTACCCAAAATCGATTGGCCAGTTCCGGTACGGTTCCACACCCACATCGTGTCGACACGGGTGCGACACCGAAAGTGAAGAGTCCGAGCAACTTATCTGTTTTGAACTTGTGGAGACGGAAAAAATTGCTATTGGTATCAAGGTATGGTCAAACAAATAGAGCCAAATGAACACGGAAAGTAAGCCTACAAAATTGGAAAGCAAGGAGTATTTGACATATATAAGGCGTCCAAACTGCATAATAATGCTCCGTTTTTTTTTTCTTTTGATAATGCTAAGGTTTAGGAAGATGGGTAGAAATTATATAGTGTTTTTTTTTGTCTCTACCAGGATTTGAACCTCGTCTTCCATGGTTTTCACCCACTTCATTTCGATAACTAAGTTGCGCGGACTCTTCATTTTTGATGCCAAACCCGTCTCGACACGACACTGGGACGAGTGCGGGTGCGGGATAGGGATACGTTTGGGATTCGGTCAACCAACTTCGGATACTTTGACCGGAGTCCATAGACAAATTTGGGGGAAATTGAGATTTTGATTTCTCAAAATAAAAGATAAAAATAGATTTAAGACACTGGAAATGGCATACCATCAACATTATAGTCCTTTTGTCTCATATTCGCTGCTACAATATACATGTAAGTTTTTCACAGAATATCTCTCAAAATTTGAAATATCTTTATAGCTCTATTTTTATAATTTTGAATTTTCTTGGCCGAATCCCAGCACCCGTATCCATACCTGGATCCGCACCCCCGAATCTTAAAATCAAGATTTTGTCCAATCCGACTCTCAGATCCGTATCCGTATCATATACCCGCACCCGAGTCTGAGCAACTTAGGGCCGTATAATAATGCTTATTTTGGATATAGCTCACATCAAGTATATTAAGGTTTTGCATACTTTCCTCTTGTTTGTTTATGTATGTGACTGTGTGCGTGGTTGTATGAAGGGATTTACAGCTAGAAGTGTGAAAAAAGCCATTTTGCTCATACTTTCGTACTGATGTCTTAATAAGATCTTATCTACAAAAGTTACGGCATTGTTTATGCCTTGTGCTAATCTGTTGTATGCTTCTAGTGTCAATCTGTTATGCCACTAGACATTGTCTTTGGGATATTTCTTAAACTTTTTGTCACACTAGCCTTCTTTTGCTGAGAAAAAGTAAATAACACAATGAAAATGTAGTGTTAATTTTCCGTTTTGTGCTCTGCCCATTTTCTTATTTAATAATGTAGAACATTCATGAAAAGTTCTTCCAATTTAGAGAAAAATTTGATGAACCAATGATATAGTCTTCCTTTGGAACATTAACGTGCCCCCCCCCTCCCCGGTTTTATTCTTCTTCTTTTTTTTTTCTTTTTGTAAATTTTAATGATGACATGTTTCAGATTAAATTAGAACTTGCATTTTTCATTAGGATCAGGATTGATATTTGCTGTGTTTTCTGCACTACATTAAGTAAATAGGAATGGAGGGAGTTGGCTATTCACTTGGAACAGACTGGTTTATTTGGTCATTGTTTAACTAATATCAGGTGTCCTTATAAACTTTACACATAAATGGAATGGAAGTTATGTGTACTCTTCTGTTTTCACTTTTTTAAGGAAGTCTTAACAACTCATGGATCATAGTTTTGCAGTTGAAAAACAGTCAATATAAATGTGAGATATGACTCAAGATCAAATTGATGTTCGTCAACATGGTGTAGCAGTTGATCAGAAGAAGCAAAAAATCAAGTGCAACTATTGTCATAAAGTTGTTTCTGGGTTTACCCGGCTTAAATACCACTTAGGAGGCGTTCGAGGAGATGTCACTCCTTGCTTGGAGGCTCCTACACTTGTCAAAGAAGCAATGAAAGCCGAGCTACATGAGAAGAAAAACGGCAATTTAATCAAGGAAGTTGAGCAGCTTTACCACCCAAATCTTCCTTTGAAGCGGAACTGGTGCCCCCGAGAAGGTGATGGTGAACCAAATAAGACAGATCTCACTCAACGTTCTGAAAATGGAAATAAAAAGCATAATAGAGTGAATTCAAAAGTAGCTGGTAGTTCTGTTGTAGATTCATCCTCACGAGAGATTTCGAAGTCTATAGGGAGATTTTTTTATGAAGAAGGTATTGACTTTGACGCTATTAGATCACCTAGCTTCCGGAAGATGGTAAAAGCCACCTTTATTCCTGGGAAGACAATAATATTCCCAAGTTGTCACGAGTTGAAAGGGTGGATCCTTCAGGGCGCAGTGGAAGAGATGCGACAATATGTAACGAAGATAAGAAATTCATGGGCAAGTACAGGATGTAGCATCTTGCTAGATGGATGGGTAGATTCAAAGGGTCGAAATCTGATTAATATTCTAGTTTACTGCCCAAGAGGCACCATTTACCTTCGGTCGTCAGACATTTCATCTATCGATAGCAATGTTGATGCCATGCAAGTGTTCTTTGAGGAAGTTATTGAGGAAGTTGGAGTTGAAAATGTGGTCCAAATAGTTGCATACTCGACATCTGCTGCCTGCATGACGGAAGCAGGCAAGAAACTAATGGAAAAACTTAAGACTGTTTTTTGGACAGTAGATGCTTCTCATTGCATGGAACTTATGTTACAGAAATTCACAACGATAGACACGATACAACAAGTTCTGGAGAAGGCAAAAGCTCTGACACAATTTATTTACAGCAATGCGACTGTCCTAAAGCTTCTGAGAGATGCTTGTCCTAATGAGCTAGTGTGCCCTTCAAAGATAAGGTCGATTGTGCCCTTCATGACTCTTGAGAACATTGTATCACAGAAAGAACACTTAATTAGGATGTTTCAGTCTTCTGATTGGCATTTGGCTTCCACAAGTGAGGGTAAAAGAATGTCAGAAATGGTCGAAGATGAATCCTTTTGGACTGAGGCTTTGATGGCTGTGAAGGCAACCATTCCCCTTGTGGAAATTATAAAATTGCTAAATAGTACTAATAAGCCACTAGTTGGTTTTATATATGATACAATAGATCAAGCTAAAGAGACGATCAAAAAGGAATTCAAAGAGAAGAAATCCCATTATGCAAGATTTTGGAAAGCCATAGATGACGTATGGGATGAATACCTCCACAGTCATCTTCATGCTTCGGGTTACTTTTTGAACCCAAGCCTCTTTTATTCAAGTGACTTCTACACTGATGTGGAAGTTTCCTGTGGTCTTTGTTACTGTGTTGTTCGCATGACAGAAGATCGTCATATACAGGATAAGATCACGCTGCAAATTGATGAGTATCGCATGGGGAGGGGCACATTTCATTTTGGTAGCTTCAAAGAGAAGTTATCAAATATTTCCCCAGGTTTGTATGATTTTACACATTTTCTGCTATTTTTATCTTTCTATTCTATGTAATTCGTTATGTTAACCTGGAAGTCATGGTTGCAGCAATTTGGTGGTCACAATATGGAGGTCATTGTCCCGAACTGCAAAGGCTTGCTGTTCGAATCCTTAGTCAGACGTGCAATGGTGCTTCACATTATAGGCTAAAAAGGAGCTTGGTCGAGAAATTATTTACACAAGGGAGGAATCCGATAGAGCAGCAGAGGATGCGTGATTTGGTATTTGTCCATTGTAATTTGCAATTACAAGCTTTTGATCCAGAAGGAAGCAATGACATTACAGATGATGTTATTGATCCCATGGATGAGTGGATAGTTGGGAAAGGGCCTAATTTGATGTCTGAAAACACTGAACTGACATGGAAGAATTTAGACTTGGGAAGCAGAAAAGGGAATGGAAATTTTTGTGTGGAAGAACCTATTATTCATGTAAAGGAGGAAGAGGCAGATAAATGTATATAGAGTAGTAAATGTAAAGTGAAGTGACAATGAATCTTTCTTATGCTGAATTATGTTTAGCTTTATTAATACAATGAATATTTTGTTCTAGCTCTATGCTTCCATATACTCTATTGTTTTGACTTCTAGCAACGGCATTATCATCCACGTCTGGAGAGAGGCAAACCATCTAGACTTGTTAGCTACTTCTATAAGACCGGAAATTTATCCAATTCTTCTTCCTCCTAATAAGGATTTTTTCAACCTACTATGTGAAGACCTCCTAGGTGATGAAAGAAATCATTCTGTTTCAATAGAGGTACAACATGAAACCATTCTGTTTCAATAGAGGTACGGGAAATAGTTGGGGGCAATGAAGTAGGTGAAGTGGTTGGATTTTGCGAGATGTTCCAATCACTGCTAGATGTGAATACCACACAGAAGAGTCAAGACCAAGCTCCAATATTAACCGATCCATTCCGGATCGACCGAATTGGTACGGGACGAGTAGGCAGGGTACGACGAAGCCCGTGGGTGGGGTGTGCAGATTTTCTTGCAAATGAAGATCACAAACATGAAGAAGATTTACTAATACGGGATGATGCAATCAAGGATATGGAGATTTTGCTCCTGCCAGATTTAAACAATGTAGCTTATGAACGATTTTGGTATTTCTCTAAATTTTCCAATGTGCCAAAACAATGGCATGATCTTGAAAGGAACTTAAGGTGGCCTCTCTAGGTGAGAGAAACCAACCGTTATGAAGCTCTAAAGGTGATTGTCTTGGCTAGATGTAGAACTTCTAGTACAAATTGATTATTATCATTTAAATTTTAGAAGGTTAACCAGAACTACTCATTGTACTAAATTGCTGGTAAAAATAGTGCGGGCTAGCCAGTTTTCGGACTGGTAATTCAAAAATAGTCAGCGTTTGCAAAGTCATTGAAAAATAGTCACTATTTTGCTGCAACACGGACCGGTCCAGCATAATATACTGGAGATTGATGCACATGTGTATGAACTTCCAACATATTATGCTGGAACTCCAACACGCGGAAAGTTCCAGCATAATATACTGGAGATTGGAGCACTTGTGTATGGACTTTCAGCATATTATGCTGGACCGATATATTATACTGGAACTCCAGTATATTATGTCGGAATATTCTCCGGATTTTGAACAGTGTTTTCGTTCAGATTTATCTTTACATGAATTGCTGAGTGTTTTTTCTAATTCATAATACTCTTTTGTGAGCTGCATAGAATGGTCCGGGCTTTCGAAAGTCCCCACACTACGAGTGAAAGGAAAAAAATAAAGACTACCATTAAAGCATCTCAAGAAGACTTACTATATCCATGTGAATTATGCTCTTAATGTCTGAGTTAAGTGCACATCAAGAATTTTAGAGAAGGATGTCTGTTAAGCTCATTATCCACCGAGTTTTGAACGCTTTGTATTTAAGTAGACAAAGGTGCACATCAAGAATTTTAGAGAAGGATGTATGTTAAGCTCATTATCCACCGAGTTTTGAACGCTTTGTATTTAAGTAGACAAAGGTATCGACGTGGGCTCATTACCCACCAAGTTTCAAACCGAGTTTTGAACGCTTTGTATTTAAGTAGACAGGTGTCGGCGTAGGCTCATTACCCACCAAGTTTCAAATTGTGCGCCAACTAGCCTCGGCCATTTCCTGATTATCAAAAACAAATTATAATAAATTACTTTTTTCCTTACAAGAAATATGTAATACGTCTCTTACTCAACAATCTATCAGAGAATTCTCAGTTCATTGTATCATAATATTTCATATCCTTGCATTTAGGGGGAAAAGTTGACAAGTAATCATAAGCATTTGTATTTCAGAGGCAAGTATAAACACAAAGAGCTCAAGGAATCAACCAGATTAAATAAATCATTCCCACTGCAGAAAGATAACTTCTTGTGAACTGCAAAATGAATGGTAAACTTCAACCTTATATTATTAAACACAACAACGTTTACTTAGTTGCCAAGAGTAATGCCAGTAGAACTGTAACGAATACCATTCCTAATTCAGGATTGCAGTATACCATCAAACTGCAACAATTTTCTTCAAATACTGAAATTGAATGTCATGTTTTTTCAAATATCATGTAAGCTTTAAAGTAACTCAAAAAAATCTCTCTGATGTATTCACGACAAATATTCCGCCAGATGCAATGCTTAATGCTCAAGCAACAGCTTACACCCTTCCACGAGTATTTATGCCTTGACTCGCTTATATTGCTTTATCTCATTAATTATGCCATCAGTAAGCATGTCGACGTCATTATTCTTTCCGAAAAACTTCACAAATTCCATCTTAGGATCCATAAGATACCTGCACATTTTATTATCAATCTCATCAAAATTCATGTGTTAAAGTAACATAACCTTTTCAATGGAAGAATAATCCAAAACATTTTAGAGAGATATCATTAAGCATTCAAGATCTAAGAGAGACGGATAATCTTAAAGCATGCTCAATCTGTATGACTTAAGCAGATTGGGAGACAAAATATTTGCCACTAAACAGAAATGCAAATTACCATCAAAAGAGATTAAATTACATCTCTAGGAATTTGGAGTACTCGATGCCTACACAGAATATTTTTGTATTGTTTATGAAACCAATTTCATCATTTACGAATTAATATGTGAAATACAGATAGTTTTTGTGAATTAATGACCAAAAATGATTCCAAGAAACTTATAATTTTTTAGTCAATTAGAACTGCTAATTCATTAGTCAATCATGTTCTAGTCATTTATCCAAAGGGCAAGATCGGTTTAGTTAATAAAACACCAAACAGATTATGATAAATGATAAAATTTGGGTGTAAATCGCTCTCTATCTAACAAAGGCGATTCCATACCCAAGGCTTGAACCCGAGACCATTGGTTAAGGATGAAGCAGTACTTATCACTCCACCACAAGATCATCAACTCCATGAGACTTTGTTCATGCACAGGTGCACTCTTGACGTGATCAAATGGCAATTAGGTAGCTAAAACCACTGTAAGTAATGTTTTTCAGATTGATGATACATGACGGAAAAAAATCAACGTGTGCTTGTATTGATAAAGGTTGTATATATAGAAATTGAGAGGCAATTAAAACAGACAGGTGGCAATCACAGCTAGGATCAAGTAACACATACATGACTATTGAGTGATCAACAAGGTAATCTGAGCCTTCTTCTTCTGTCTTCATATAGTAAACCCGATAAGCACGTGCCGTTTTCTTTATCTCTTCTGGGGTACCAGTGAGGCCAATCAAGTTTGGGTGAAACTCTAAACATTGAGTACAAAATTGTCAGTTGCAGCGTTACAAGTATATTTACAAGCATATCTAATCAATGCACGAGATATAATCAGTTCAACCCAGAACGCACCTTTAACATATTCACGTACTTGCTCAACCGTATCTCTTTCAGGATCAACTGAGATAAACACAGGTATTACTTGAATTCCTGACTTCTCTGCATATTGAGTATATTAACGAATTAGGAGATTAACATATCTCTATATGCTTAAAATTAAAAGGAAAAAGACATCATGACATCTAAACACTACTCCCCCTCTGTCCCAATTTATGTGATGCACTTTCCTTTTTAATTTGTGTCTTTCTATATTAAGAAACAATTTAACTTTAAACTTCCTATTTTACCCTTAATGAGATGATTTATAGCCACAAAAATTACTATGACTTGTTTTAGACCACAAGCTTCAAAAGTCTTTCTTTACAATCAAAGTGTATCACATAAGAGAGTATAAATTAATGGGCTTTTCTCTCACAACAAAAAAAAAAAATTGGAACTATACAGCCACTAGTTGCCTTTTGATTTGTTAAACAGTCAGTAGCTGCGGTATTGTAGTCTGCTACGACATTAGCTTACATTTTCTCCCCTAGGTAGCAGAATGAACATCTCCTTTAGGAGAATATTAAAACCACTTTGAACATTTTCATACACAACATGAAATTACAATTGAAGCAAGGAAAAAGGTTAATTGTTTGAGTTCATTCAATTTACATGATACTTTTTATGCACGATCAGCTTTTCTTCACTGAATCAACACTGGAAATCAGAAGGTCCTTCTAGTTCTGTTATTATTACCTCCCTTTGACCAAACAAATTGGGAATTAAGACTGGACTAAAACTTGGAAAATCAGACATTAACATGAAAGGTGAGAGGAAGAATAAATATAAAACAGAAAGAAAAAGATGTGGTTGATGAAATGACCAATCACAATAATCATGCAAAACTTCATCCATTTTGGGCACAGAACTATAATGAAAAGGCTTACTAATTTTATCAACTGCAGCAGCGAGTTTTTGTAGCTCATCTGGGCATATATCTGGACAGTGAGTGAAACCAAAATATACAACTGTCCACTTGCCAAAGAAGTCTTTCTCAGTTACTGGTTTTCCATTATGGTCAATGAGATTAAATGGACCACCAATGGCTGCTTTTCCCGCGGAAGGTCCTTGCTTTACGGAAGTTGAGGCAGTGGTGATATCTATAACAAGTAACAAGCTTAATTAGCAAACTAGAATGGTAGGAAATTAGAGAGCAAGAACACATATTGAAGCCTATGATCTTACTATCTGCAAAAGTTTAGTACGGCAAACTTAACGCTCCCTGAACAAAAGGAACAAAAGGGAAGGGTAATATATTGGTCTTTAATTTTATTTGGATAATCATAAAAGAAGCTTATCAATACAGGGGAAGAAAAATATTACTAGTAAATACAAATATTTTTTATTTGAAGTATGACGAAGTACCTCATGTGACTTCCACTTAAAAACCCAAAATTTCATAAAATGAGTATTTAAACCTCAGTGGTTTTGTTCCATTAAATAGAGATACTTTTGTTTAAGTAACGGTAAGCAGAAACCTATGGTGATAGTTTAAAATTTTAAAACAGGAGGCCATTTAACAGTGTTTTCATGATACCACCACAGTACCACACTATTGAAAATGCACGCACTTACTCCACCAAAAGAAGAGAAAGGAAAAAACTATACCACCAGATTTCTTTGCAAAAACCAACCTCCTGAATAACAATTTCCAGCATGTCCCCC